AAAATAAAATGAAAGAGTGTATTCATAGAGGGTTTTGTCTCTTAAGGATCCTAGTGATCTCTACTAAGTCTAGTCATTCCTTGTCTACATTCATATGAGGCAGGAAATGACTGATGGATTCCCAAACATCTCTAAGAACATCTCTCAGAACATATAATCATTTTTATAAAGTGGGTGCTTTCTAAATCTGCTTTTGTTTTTAAAATTGACCAAGTTACACACATTGTTTTAGACTTACCTACAGGCCATTACTACAGAAATCAGCAGATCAAAAGCAGCTGTTTCGTTCTTACCACCCCTGATGTGTATTTCATCTCTCCATTCCCTCCCCTCCTTCCTCTTTTTTCTACTTCCTCTCATTCTCTCTCTTTTTGCTCCATTCAGGTTACCATGATGGGCATCTTGTGATCCGCTGGTTCTGGGCCGCGGTGGAGCACTTCAATAATGAGCAGAGGTTAAGATTACTTCAGTTCGTCACAGGAACATCAAGTGTGCCCTATGAAGGCTTCGCGGCCCTTCGAGGAAGCAATGGGCTGCGGCGCTTCTGCATAGAGAAATGGGGGAAAATTACATCTCTACCCAGGTATGAGGCTTTTGCCAACTTCAGGAAACCTGCTAAAGAGAGCAAAGTATACTTTATTTGAGCTTGGGTGATCATCCTTTAGCATAGAATTCTTTTCTGAAACACTAAGTATTGTTATATGAATTACTAGAGGCCCGGTGCACAGATTCATGCACCGGTAGGGTCCCTCAGCCTGGCCTCCGGGGATCAGGTCGAACCCGGCTCTCTGACATCCTCTGAGGGGTCCTGGATTGTGAGAGGGCAGTTCTCAGGTGACGCACCCCAGAATATCGGGCTCCCTCCTCTCTGGTTCCAGGTGCGTCACCCGAGAACTGCAGCTGCCAAGTCACTGCAGCTCGGCAGGTCCTGCATTGAGCATCTGCCCCCTGGTCAGTGTGCATCATAGCTACCAGTCAGAACGTCTGCCCCCTGGTGGTCATTGCACATCATAGCTTCCGGTCGGATGGTCAGATGGTCACTTAGGCTTTTATATATATATTGAAGATTAGTGAAAGGTGCAGGTAAGAAGTCTCTAGGAGGTTAATTTAGACCATATTCTTAATTATTTTTTAATGATTGATGGTATTTGGGCTATAATATCATGGTCCATGTATCAGTTGTGGGAAACTTTCCAATCTGTGTGTAGCCCAATCAATTTAAAGAGGAATGTCTCCCCCTGGCAAGGTTGCAGGCTCAATTTCCAATAAGGGACATGCAGGAGGCAGCCCATTGATGTTTCTGTCTCTTTCACCCTCTCCCTTCCTCTCTCTCTCTAAAAGCAATGAAAACCTTTTTTTAAAAAAGAGGAATGTCTTACCTGTTGGCAAGGGGTGTGGGGGAGAAGAGGCTAGAAGCCCAAAGTTACTCTTCCCAGCTCTGTGTATGTACTTCACAGCATATCACTTGATATTCTCTGTAGGGTAGTTGCTCAAATGTTGCAAATTTTTTTACTATGCTTTAAAACATGTGAGGATAGGACCACATATATCTCAGGTCTCTACAGTGACTTCTATGCAGTAAGATATTGTGGGCCTTGGCTGAGTGGCTCAAAGTTGATTGGAACATCCTCCCATACACCAAAAGGATTCCCAGTCTGGGTTCAATCCCCAATAGGAGCTTTTACGGAAATCAACCAATCTCTCTCTCTCTCTCTCTCTCTCTCTCTCTCTCTCTCTCTCTTTCCCCTCTCTCTCTCTCTAAAATCAATAAAACGTATCTTCAAGTGAGGATTTTTTTAAAGATATTGAGGAACTTATTGTGAGATAAATGCAGAAAGGGAGGTTCTAAGGATCCAGGTAATTTAACAGAATGAATTTCTTTTAACATGAGTTTTAATCCCAACACTTCCTGGGTCTTTTCTATGCCACATTGAGTAGCATAAACCTGGTCAGTGAAATAAGAAGCAGTAAAAAGATACTTCTGTTTAGGTACTATTATAATAAATACTGCCCAACAAACAGAAGAAAAGATTGATCCATATTATTTTCTTGTACCGATATTTTCTAATCATTAAAGAAGATTCACATTAAAGTCAGCTCTATTTCTACATGGCCTCCCAAAATACCTTTGCTGAGTTCCTGTTATGGAAGGATTTACTGAACTATTATTTTCATAGCCTTCTCAGATTTGACATTCCCAGAATGTCCTGAAGACAACTCTGCAATTTCCATGTATTAAGAGGCCCAGAAAGCAGGATTCATACCTAGCTGAGTAATAACAGCCTAAAGCTTTGGTGCAGTTTTCAGCCCTGGATTTCCCCACAGAGTTCAGCAGACGCTCACTGTTCATTTGCATGGTTCTGCTGATAGTTGGACCTACTGAATTAAGTCTGGCAAGAAAATAAGCCCAAAAGGGCAAGATTTCCATTTGTCTATTTTAATAATAGATTTGTAGGCTGCAGTCATCAGGAAACATTCTGCTATGGTTTAGAGAAATGAGATTGAGTCACCATTTATCAATAGCTTACCCCCATAATGCACCTTGAAGAGGGCTGAGATACAAGGTACCTGCCCAGAGGGGCTTACAGTGTAGGGAGGAAAAGAGCCTGATAGTAAGACATCATCATACAAGGTAGAATCAGAGGGGCACTAAGAAGGAAAAGTAAAAGCAAGTAGAACAAAGAACTAACCCTGATTGAGACCAAAGGAGATGTCACACGAAAAGCTGGCATTTAGGTGAGCACTGAGGGGCAGTGAATGGGTGGAAGGCAATTCCCGGCTGAAGCAGCAGCATGAGCGAGGGCTGGGGGTGGGAAATGGCCAGATTGTGTTCAGACGTTTTTAGGTTACAAACTGAAATTAATTTAAGGAGTCATCAAGGCTGTAGATAAAGTAAATTTTTAAGAA